GTTCAGACAGCTCAGTTAAAAGCTCAGACAGCTGGACTCCAGCCCTATTGCACTCCAATCAAGTCACCCAAAATACATAGCTCAAGTACAATCAGAAACTGTAACAGTCTTTGCATTGTGCTAAAACATAAAGAGGACAAAAAAAAATAATAAAACAACAAAAAAGCCCAAACCAAACCCAAAGAAATCAATAGAGGATCATCTTCCTAAAAAGGTTATTAGAAAGAATGCAAGTGAATGTTGCAGCTCGTCTAACCTATCTCGAGGCTACTGTCTGAACTGCGAGGAAGAACTTTTTGGTGTCACAACATCATCTGGTTTTGTCCTACTTAGCGTATGCCATGTATGTGTATTTCTGGTTCAGCAGAAACACTATCAGAACTATTACAGAAGTTGATAACAATTAATATTAAATTAGTGCAGTTATTCTGATTTCTTCATTGACAAAATAGCTGAAGTACTGTCCCTGTGCAGCTTTCTGTTGGCATTCAGATCAATATTGTCACAGTGCCAGATTAGTACTATTTTTCTACACCAACCTAAAAATAGTTGCCATGCTCTAGTGAAAATCTGACTTTCAAATTTTCCACATCTGCTAGCCCGGTGTTAACCCGAATTTTAACTGAGATGACTAAATATTCCAGTTGTCAAAATAAACAAGCAATAAGATGATGGGCCTTTTGATTTGTAGGGCCATTTGCATTTCCTATACTAAAAGGGCTGGTGTTAACTGGCCAAAATTAATCCCTTCCTCACACTTCTTGAATTTTAAACTATGCAGCTATAAGGAATTAAGAGGGAAAGAGCAACCTAAACAGGACTAACTCTGTAACAAAGCAATTCAAGTATTCACTGAATTTAATATATGGAAAATATTAAAAGACTTTTAAAATGATGCCATTTCATCCTTTCCTTATCACCTGTGATGTGCAACTAAGGAGCTGCCCAATATAAGAACCTGCACAGCAGTAAGGCTTATCGAGCATAATTTCTGCAATTTCACCTGTGTCGTTTCAACAACAATTCAGTGCTCTTTGCAGATTCTATGTCTGCTGAGTTTAGATTGCTACAGGTTTCTAATCAGAAATGACAAAATGGACCACGAAGGAGAGCTCCATACCTGGAGTTTGGTCAATGGAAAATACTTACTTACATTGTGAAACAGTTTATAAATATTTTGTTTGTGGTTCTTCAGTCTGCAATTGTCCTAAGTTTAGAACATGAGATAAATCCATTGTATTCAATTGACTTTTAAGGTACTGCATATTCTCTGATGTGGAGTAAGCCATGTGATGGAATACTAATGTGAAGAAGGACACGTCATTAAGTAACATCATAATCACCACTATTATACCATCCACAGCCTCATCCACTGCTTACTCCTCCATGTAGCAACAAATCACATCTCAGAATTAAAGAGAAGGAGCACAAAGAAGGCTTTACGCAAGGAAGAAAAGTTACACCATCACAGGGATATGCTCCATAGAATCAAATAGACTGAAAAAAACCTTTAAGATCACCAAGTCCAACCGTTACCCCAGGATTACCAAGCCCACCACTAAACCATGCCAATACGGGCAAACTGATCTCCCCTTATAGCTGCCTCTCATAACCTCCACCTCTCACAGTGGCCCAAATAAAGCTGTTGCCACTAGCCCCCTTGGCATGGCTGCCCTTCATACCCCCACAGCTGACCTTGCTCTCCCCTCATGGCCACCTCTTCTCTCCCCTCATGATCTCCCCTCATGGCCACCTCTTCTCTCCTCTCATGATCTCCCCTCATGGCCACCCCTCCTTTCCCCTCATGATCTCCCCTCATGGCAACCCTCCTTTCCCCTCATGATTTCCCCTCATGATCTCCCCTCATGGCACCCCTCCTTTCCCACCATGATCTCCCCTCATGGCACCCCTCCTTTCCCACCATGATCTCCCCTCATGGCCCCCCTCCTTTCCCCTCATGATCTTCCCTCATGGCCACCCCTCCTTTCCCCTCATGATCTCCCCTCATGGCACCCCTCCTTTCCCCTCATGATCTCCCCTCATGGCGCCCCTCCTTTCTCATCATGATCTCCCCTCATGGCCACCCCTCCTTTCCCCTCATGATCTCCCCTCATGGCGCCCCTCCTTTCTCATCATGATCTCCCCTCATGGCGCCCCTCCTTTCTCCTCATGGCGCCCCTCCTTTCCCATCATGATCTCCCCTCATGGCACCCTTCTTTTCCCATCATGATCTCCCCTCATGGCGCCCCTCCTTTCCCATCATGATCTCCCCTCATGGCGCCCCTCCTTTCCCATCATGATCTCCCCTCATGGCGCCCCTCCTTTCCCATCATGATCTCACCTCACAGCCACCCTTCCTTTCCCATCATGATCTCCCCTCATGGCGCCCCTCCTTTCCCATCATGATCTCCCCTCATGGCACCCTTCCTTTCCCATCATGATCTCCCCTCATGGCGCCCCTCCTTTCCCATCATGATCTCCCCTCATGGCGCCCCTCCTTTCCCATCATGATCTCCCCTCATGGCGCCCCTCCTTTCCCATCATGATCTCCCCTCATGGCGCCCCTCCTTTCCCATCATGATCTCCCCTCATGGCCACCCGTCCTTTCCCGTCATGATCTCCCCTCATGGCGCCCCTCCTCTCCTGTCATGATCTCCCCTCATGGCACCCCTACTTTGCCCTCATGATCTCCCCTCATGGCACCCCTCCTTTCCCGCCATGATCTCCTCTCATGGCCACCCCTCCTTTCCCCTCATGATCTCCCCTCATGGCCAACCCTCCTTTCCCCTCATGATCTCCCCTCATGGCACCCCTCCTTTCCCCTCATGATCTCCCCTCATGGCACCCCTCCTTTCCCCTCATGATCTTCCTTCATGGCCACCCGTCCTTTCCCGTCATGATCTCCCCATGCGCCCCTCCTCTCCCGTCATGATCTCCCCTCATGGCACCCCTCCTTTGCCCTCATGATCTCCCCTCATGGCACCCCTCCTTTCCCGCCATGATCTCCCCTCATGGCCACCCCTCCTTTCCCACCATGATCTTCCCTCATGGCCACCCCTCCTTTCCCGTCATGATCTCCCCTCACGGCACTCCTCCTTTCCTGTCATGATCTTCCTTCATGGCCACCCGTCCTTTCCTGTCATGATCTCCCCTCATGGCGCCCCTCCTTTCCCCTCATGATCTCCCCTCATGGCCACCCCTCCTTTCCCCTCATGATCTCCCCACATGGCCACCCCTCCTTTCCCGTCATGATCTCCCCTCACGGCACTCCTCCTTTCCCCTCATGATCTCTTCTCCCCTCACGGCCACCCCTCGTCTCCCCTCATGGCCGCCCCTTCTTTCCATCCCTTTGCAAGGCCGAGTGCTCCCTCCCTGGGGCTTGCCACACGAAACCCACTATTGTTACACACACATAAATAGACACAAAACGATTTTCTGCCTTAAAAACTGTGCATTTCCTTATGTGTGAGAGGCTAGCAACTATGCCTTCTTCCTGCACCTACTGCTATAACTATCACTGCAAGGCATCAAACACTTACATGGCAGCTCAAGATGGGGATCATACCAGTGCCCTTTCCCAACATGCTGTGTCCGTTCCTACTCACTCCCCCTTACACACCTTGCCATCTCCTCTCACAACCATCACGATGCACCTCGCTCCCGCCACTCACTGTGTACACATACCGTACCACATCCCCGGGTATTATACCCGCAGAGCAAACCTCAACCAGCCTCCTCCTCCTGTGCTGCACTCTCCCCACACGTACATGACACTATATCTCCACATGAAGATGAAACAAACCTCATGCCCACCACACCCCCCACAAATCCATTATAAACACATCTGTGCATTAAAGCATTACAGCTAGGCATACTTATACATAGAAGCAACCGGCACTCTACAGACACAAAATACCATCCCCTATGTCTGCTACATGCATATAAAAAGGACAGATAATCCTTGCCACACCCACAGCATACGTGCCTATAAAAACATCCCCATATTACGCCACACCCAATATTCACTATATATACACACAGAGGCACAAGCCCATACCAGACAGCAGTGTACAAACACAACTAGATACATAGGATGCCATATCATTTCCCTGCAAGCAATGTTAAATCTCTGCTACAATACAAACGCAGACATAACCGAAGCCCAAACCATAGCAGATGCACACACACGCAGACATGTTATATATTATGCTCATGACCTAGTGTACATCTTTTATACATACACATCCCAGGCCACACCCTGGTTTACTGCACATGCATAAGCATATAGCACAGCACCGCATGCACCCACAGTGTGACCCTGCCCTGCGCACCGACACACACGTTACCTTCCTCCCTACTCCATACGGGGGGGACGAGGCACCTCTTGTCACGCCCCAGACGCTTTACACACCGGCACACATTACCTCTCCCGTGCTACACGGCGGGACAGCACACCCCTTCCACACCTGACCCGCTCTGCACACAGCCGGACTCCAACCATGGCTGCTCCGGCGCTACACAGGGAGGATACGCACCCACCACACCTCACCACAGACACGCAGCTGTGCCCGCCCTGCCTGTGCTTACAGCAGCCCCACCTGCTACGGACAGACAGACACACAGACACTCTCTTTACCGCTACAGCCGCGGACATCACAGCCCGCTCAGCACCACATCCGCACCGCCACTGTTCACGCACACCCGTACCCTGCCTAACACGCCCGCCAAGCGCAGACGTTCCGCCTGGCCGGGCCGCCACCCTCCCTCCCTCCCCTCGGGCTGAGGGGCCCGCCTGCCGCCCGGGCCGGCGGCCGCTCTACACGTCCCCGACAGAACTCTCTCCCCACGGCGGCGGCTCCACCCGCCCTATCATCACCTGCCCGTCCCACCTCTCCGCCGCTCCCCGTCCCGGACCCCAAGCGGCCGGGCCAGCCCCCCGAAAGCCCGGCAGCGGCAGGGGGTGAAGGGGTGCGGCGGGCCGGACCGGGCCACAGGCTCACCATGGCAGAGGCGCCGCGGCGAGGCCGGTTGTCCTGGAGACGGGGAGCCCCGAAGAGGGCGCCAGGTGCAACGCCTGCGCGAAAGCGCCACCGGAGCCGGGGCGGGCCAGGGCCGCCGCCAGCACCATGTGACCGGCACCGCCCCTGCGCGGTGGGGCCGGGCCGCCCCGGCTCCGCCCCCTCGGCTGGGAGCCCCTCCCTCTCGCCTCAGGTGGCGCCGTGAGGGTAATGGGGGCGCGGTGTCATGGCGGCTGCCGGGGCAGGTGTTAGGGCTGGTGGGTTTGCAGCCTGTCAGCCCCTTGAGGCACCTACTCCCGGTGGTAGGGCATGGGAGCCCTCGCCAGTCGGCTTTTGGGGTTTAGAGCAGGATGTGTGCTCGCAGGTGAGGAGGGTCTGGTGCGATCACCAGGCTCTCCTGAAGGTGTGCTGGTTTTGACAGGGCGGCAGCTGCCCCCTGCTCCTCCGGTTTGCAGCCTGGCATATTGGCTGCTGGTATGTATGTCACATGTATGGTGACATGTTTACTCCCGAGATACTGCCTTATAAACCGGAGGGGTTGCTGGGGGTGACAACCTCCTAAATTGCTATGGAAAACCTTACAAAAACTTGCCTGTCACAGAGTGAAGTGCTCTGAAGCCATGCATGCTGTCAGTAATAGAACGGCTTGCTCCTGTGAACACCACTGCCAGAGCCAAATACAATATTGTTAACAGCACATCTGCTCAGCAGTCACAACACCACATGCAAAAATAAGGAGATGGGAGAAAAAATTATCCCAGCACGTTCTGTTTTCTGTTGATTCAGTCCTTCGGCTTTCTAAGAAACACAAGTGGCCATTGCAGAGTAACTGGAGTTTGCTCTTTGGGACGGGCTGCATTTATTCCTGTGAGGAATGAAACATTCTGGTCTGAGTAATAGTCAAGAAAGAACAGTTTCCTTACTCAAGTGTCCTTTCTCAGAACCTGCATGGAAATAGTTGGTACACGCACATACCATTTGTTGGCACATCTCTGAAGCTATAGTGCTGTGCTCTGCAGGCTTCAGGGAATGACCCGGTTCGTACAGTTGGTCTGGTTTGTGTAGTGGGGAAGAAAGCCTCAGAAATGTGAAATATGTATAAACAATCTGGCCATGTTCAGCTGAATCGCAGGATGCCCGGACCGGCAGCTTCATCGTTCTATTGGCTCACACTTAGAAAAACTGAAACAAAAAATACGACATTTTTTAGTCCAATGCAAACGTCTGGGCAGTGTTATAAAGATGACAGATTTTCCTATCCATACAGTAAAAAAAAAAAAGGAATTTAGGGAGCTAGAATCTTTTCAAGTTGCAGCAACCTGAAGATAAATTTGTTTTGCAAAAAGATGGCACATGGCAAAATAAAACCATGTTTGATTAAGAGACATTCAGGATGATTAGTCCAATTGGGGTCTGTTTGTGCAAGGGAGGCAAGACAGGAGGCAAAAGTGCATGTTAACTTTTGTTGTGGTATCACTTGAAAATTCAGGACAAGCTTACTCAAAACCCCTTTAGATTGACTTGAATTTTGTCAAGTATAAGCAATTAGTTGTGGAAATGAGACTTGTGTACAGAAGCGTATACATCCTGACCTGTCTTCTCCATTTCCTGTCTGCGGAATGTCTCAGGATGTACATCCCGAGTGTTACTATATCCATGTTCAGTGCTGTTTTCAAGCAAAACACAGCAGTAGTTGTGATGGAGAATTTTTTATCCCCCAAATTCCCAGCTAGCTGTAAGTAGAGAGGAAGGGGGTGAGCAAGCGGCTCGCGGTACTTAGCTGTTGGCTGGGGTTAAACCACAAAGTGGTTGTAGGCAGCTAACTTTCTAAACTGCTACAATGGATCTGAAGGAGCTCGTCTTTCCTTAAGTTAAATGGTTGTGACAGGGAAGTCCATGTCTATTGATTACCATTATGAGTAACAAATGGTCAGTGATCTTGTTTCTAGGATGCTTTTTTGCTATGCTGTGCATGTTCACATTAGGGCATATGTAGATGATGTTTTAAGTCTGACATGGCTTTTCATGCACTGCCCTGTAAGAACTAAAAGATCAAGACTTCCCAAACTGCCTTTTTTCCCCCCAAAACCAGCAGCAGGACATGCCAGCTTTGTGCCAGGGTTTTTTATACTTCTGTGTTTGTGTTGCCTTGTCAAAAGTTATTTATACACCGCTAGTTGTGCACATACCATAGGTTGGGAATATCCTGCCTTATCCAGGCAATTTGTGGGTGTCCAAATCAGTGACCTGACGAAGCACATAACTTGCTCTCAGACAGGACAGCCACTCAGAGGAATCCTGGCAACCTGCAGATGGGAATCTCAGGATGCTTGGCCAAGACAAACTCAAAGCCCTGAATATGGGATCAGGACTTGCATCCTTGAGGAATCTGGGTCCTGAGGCGATAAGGAGCTACGTGACCATATTTTGGTCACAGGTCTTATTTGAGCCAGCTATGCAGAGCTATGGGTATGTCCCAGGTGGTCTTAATGCATGGCAGCCTGGTGGTTGTCCCTGCACAGTAGCTCTGACCATGCTGCCCTATATAAGGAAATTCCAGACAAATAAGGAATTCTTCTGAATGTCAACCAGACAGTGTTTTGAGTCAGAGAAAGATGACGTGTGTCAGCTTTGTGTTTAAGACATTCCCATAAACCCATTTTTCCTAGTTTTGAGAAGTGAAGGTTGGCCCTTGCATTATGTTCCCAGTATTTCAAAACAATTTGAAGAGGTGCTTTTAAACTCAATTCCATGTTGGTGAATCTTTGCAGCAGAGAATTACTTTATACAAACAAAGAGCAAAGACTCAACCACATAAAGTCTTTGAACTTCAACAGAGTCACTAAAAGAATGTGTTGGCAATGCTTGACAATTATTATCTATGTGTGAGGGTTTGATAAGCCATGGCACTACTCCTGTTAAGTGCATATACAGTTGGTTATCCTCACCCACTGGTGTAGCTCAGTAAGCACCAAATCAGAGAGCTGCTACAGAAATTCCTCCATAACCAGCTCCAGAATTCTCTATGTGTACTTCTTCTGACGTGGTACATTTGAAGTGTTTTCTCAGAGCATGCTTTCATTTGCCATGCAGAAGGATCTCTGCTCAGGTGCTTTTAATTTAATTCTAGTTTAAGTAAGTGTTGAAAATTCTGGTTTAAGTAAGAAGTGTTGAAATTTCTGTTAGATTTACCCTTGTTTGGGAAAATAGTTTGGTAACAGTTTGGAGAGTTGACATGTTCCTGACAAGGACATAGTACATATGTTCAACTGCTATTGCATATATCTCTCAACAGTACACAGATATAGACTAATTTTCCATGCAGCACAGGCTTGTGGTAGCAGTTTGACCATGTATGGCTTCACCAGTAGCTTAGTATATATTTGGCTTAGAGCTGTGCTCAAAAAACTGAAGTCAAAATTAGAGGAATAAAAAGGCATTGTAGTAAGGTTTGTGTGGTTCCAAATAAAAGTTAGGTTCACAAATGGAGTGGCTTTCATTGCATGTCCTAACCTTCTGTCTGTGTCAAAACAGATGTCAATAAAACATACTGTTTAATACTTTTTTTGCATTTGTTCCCATTTGTTGCATTCATATGAAAACAGAAGCAGTGATGGAATAGGATACCCTTTACAAAGTGCAATAAAATCCTTTGCTCATACACTGTGCTGCTGTGCTTTTTGCTTTTTCCTTTTTCATTCACAGACATTTGTACGCCACTCACTAAAAGATACAAATGTGAGCTCCTACAGATCTTTCGCAAAGATTTTTGTCTGAGCTTTGTGTTTTGGGCTAAAGTATGGATATTTGTTTGCATAAAAGTACCAGACAGATGTTTTTTATTGTTACACTCATATTACTGGTAAAGTTTAGTAGACCTACTTTGAGTTTAGATTAAGTCTGTGGTAGCGTCCAACAATTCTGCAGGTTGACAATGAAGTTTGCTAAACCTGTTCTACACTGTACATTGTGTCTGGGAATTTTCTAATACTACTACTTTGTAGCTGTGAAATAAACACATTTTAATGTAGATAAGCTTTGGTCAGGTAAGCTGAGGATTACTGCATCTGTGTTGTCTTAGCAGGTAGAAACCTGAGTGGAATTTATTGGCTAAAAGCAGAAGAGAAGATAAATACTAGAATTTCACATGGAGAATAAAAATGGTTGTGGTCAAATGTCCTGGCAGCATCTCTGCTTTCTCTAAACTTAGAATACATGCTGTTGCTTTAACTGAGCAGATATTTCATGCCTCTGCCATTTCCATTATCATATATTTTCTTATCATGTATTTCTTAAATGTAAAAAATGTGCTTGATCCTTTGAAAAAGTAAACATTGTGAAATATTGGACTTTGATTTGGCTTTAACACAGAGAGACTCTTCTCGTCTGGCTCACCAACAAAAGCTTGGAGCACAGTAGGGAACCTGGACAGAAATATCAGATACCTATTTTGTACAGCTTTCTGGTTCCTTTAGACTCATTGCTCCTTTCAGTGATGATTCCTTCCCAAATTATCACTTTGAACCAGACGCCTGAGGCTTTTCATTTATTTGTATTCAGTTGCTTGAGTGCATAATTTTGGACACAGCTGAATTTAAGGCATCTAAATTAGCAGCTTAAATTAGAAGAACAGATTCCCTTAGTAATGATCTATGAGAAGTTAAGAATCTACCTGTTCCATATTGACTGCATCTGGAAGCTGAAATTAGATGCCTCAAGATGTAAACACAGTTACATGTACCAAGTGAAGCATAACTATTAATGTTATAAGGATGTTCTCTGGTGCTTAGTGTAAGATCTTAGGGAAAATTTTGATTTTCACGGACTCTGCAGAAGACACATTTCCACTGAAGATGGCCCATGTTCAACAATATACAGCTGGTCAGAGGCAGTGTTAGAACTAGAAAGGAGTTACCGAACATGGTATACACTTGGAGTGTGAATCATGGGTTGCCTGAATGTCCTTCCAAAATTGAATGAATGTTTGCAACCTAAGCTCCAATCCTAATCCTGCAGGCTCCCATTCTTGGGTAAAGTGCTTGCTACTTTGATTTCACTATTCATGGTAGCAAGCACTGCTTTGGATAGCAAGT